ATCCTTCCAGAGTTTGTTTCACTTCTGTAATCTCCCTCTGGACATCTGTAATCTCCCTCTGGACTTCATCCCTTAGCTCTTTCATATTTCTCTGCAGCTCTGTCAGCAAGTTAATGATTTTTAATTTGAATCCTTTTTCAGGGAGACTCATTAGGTTTGTCTCTGCAGATCCTCTCTCAGGTGTTGTCTGATCTATGTTGGACTGGACTAAATTTTTTTGCCTTTTCATGGTGATAGCAGTGGCTGTAGGCGGGTTGCGGGTGTGTCAGCTGGGAGAAGAAAGTCCTTTCCTGCTTGCTGGATGCGTTGCCCTACTCCGCTGCCTGTGTCGGTTACCCGCACTCCTCGAGCAGCCACTGGGTTAGTCCCCTAAGCTTCTGTGGGCGGGGTCTCTTTCAGAGCAGTGCGGAGCCCTGCGGGGAGTGGCAGGCACGCCAGGTGCGCTCCTCTGTGATAGCGGTGCACCTGCCGGGCAGCTGTGCGCCAGCAGCGGCCTTTGGGTCTGGACCGGGCGACTGTGCATTGGGCTGGAATTCCAGTCGGCTGCTGGGAGTGCATCTGCTCCCTCTCGCTCCACTGCAGGTGCACGTGGGGCTCTTCCGCATGGGCTTCTACAGGGCTCCTCTGGCTCCACTGCCACCCGTGTGCGCAAGCCGTACCCAGGCTGTTTGGTTCCTGCCACTGCGGGCTTGCAGAAGCCTCTCCTGGTCTCCTCTGGCAGCATTGGTGCACGCAATCTGCTCCCGGTCCCTTCCGGCACAGCCGCCCATGGCACGCGCTACCACTCTCCCACTACTGGGCCGGTGTGTTGGGGTCCACGCCAGTAGGAGGAACAACTGGCAGGCTGCTTAGTTCCACGAGGGGCCTCTGAGCTGTGCTGTCTCCCCAGAGTTTAGGGCGCCTAAGGTTCCCCGTGATTCCCAGCTGCTGACTAAGTGTGCCAGGATGAGTTTGTCCAGCTATGGGGTCCCTGTCTCTTTAAGACTTACAGAAAGCACTCGCTTTTCTTTTGTCTTGGGTGCTCCAGTTGCAGGGACCTGCCCACAGGTTTTGCTTTTCCGTTTCTCTAATATCCAGCACCCTGTGCACCTTGTATCTGCGCTCTGGATGTGGATTTCTAGAGCTGGTTGTTTAGGAGTCCTGGGCTTTCACTCCCTCCCCATTCTGACTCCTTTCTTCCTGCCAGGTTCTGGGGTGGGGGAGCTTTCGGGTCCCTCCTGGCCGCGGCTTGTATCTTACCCCCTTCGTGTGATGTTGAGTTCTCACAGATGTAGATGTGTCCTGGCTGTTGTACTGCATCCACTGGTGTCTCTTTTAGGAATAGTTATATTTATTGTATTTTCATAAATATATGTTTTTGGAGTTTTCCTCTGAACTACTCACGCCGCCATCTTCCCGTAATCCCAATTTATTCTTTTAAGGTACTGTTATGCCTTCTTGGCAAAAGGCCCTCTCTTATTATGTAATGTTCCTCTTCATCCTGTGAATATTCATTCTTTTGAAGTCTACTTTTTTATGTTAATGTAGCCATTCCAGCTTTCTTGATTAATGTTTGCAAAATATAACTCACCTACGTATTTTTGTTTAACATGAGTTTATGGTAGAAAGTTTATGTATCTCAAGGAATATTTGAATACTTAAGTTTACTTAATATTTAATGTAACTATACAAGTGCTGTACTTTTTTCTTGGTTTTGTTGTTACACTTTTCTAGTTATTTGTCTATTTCCTCTAAATTTTCAATCTTATTTACATAAATTCTGTTCCTTAATTTTTTAATGCTTCATTTTTTGTTATGTTCCTTCTTTCTTTCATAATATTATTTCTGTGGACCTTTTCTTTTGATCCTGATGAATCTGCCAAATGTTTGTCTATTTTATTAATTTTGTAAAAGAAAGAAATGTGGGGCTTCACTGATCTTCTTTATAGAGTCTTGATTTTTATTTGATGCTTTATGGATGCTTTTCCTTTTAATACTTCCTTCCTTTTTTCTATCATTCCTATTGTATTCTTAGCTTGGATACTTAGGTCATTAATTTCTCTCCCTCCTCTTCTCTAGTACTAGTATTTAAGGCTATAAACGTCACTCAAAACATGCTTTCAGCATGTCTCACAGGTTTTTATGAGTAATACTTTTATCATTAAATTTTAAGTATTTTAAGATGTCTCTCACGATTTCTTACTTAATCCATAAAATACTTAGAAATGTGTTTTATATTATGAAGTATATGGACATGTTTTTTCTACCCTCTTTAATATATAACTTAATTGTAGTGTGGTTAAGGCAACATGGATCCTATGATACTGTGAACAACAGTAACACCACTGAGACAAATCTGTATGTAACTGCTGACTCACCTTACCTCCTCCCCACATCTTTTGTGTTCTGCAGAGGAACATTCCATAGAAAAGATTAAGATGTCAGCCTCTCCTTTGACTAAATACACAGATGACCATCCTGCAGGTAGACCCTTTTTTCCTTGCATCTATAAATTACCCTCCATAAACATAAAGCAGTGCAGAGATCTATGTGTTCTGTGGCTCCCCAAGACAAACTTCTGCAGGTAAACTCACCTCAAAAAACAAGCTGGACTTGTTAGCCTTTGTTTGGTCTTACAGCTCCTTCAGCCTTTGGGGTTTGGTTTGCTTATACCTCCTCCATGTGGAGCAGATACTATTCTTTACATTAGCAAATAATGCAGAATCAATTCTTGAAATTGTTCCAAATGTACTTCAAATTATGTTTTCTGTAATTCTTCGAAGGAGGAGTGTATGTTTCCATTTCTATTTGGCAAGACTTGTAAGTTGTGTTGTTTAAATCTTCTGTTTAAAGCTGTTGTTTTATATATGTGATTTCTCAATACCTGAAAAAAGCTGTTGAATTTTTTCACTCGTTTGGTGGATTTTTCAATTTCTCATGAACTTCTATTAATGCTTTGTATATTTTGAGGCTATTTTAAGTGTATGTGTAATACTATGTAACATTTTACCGAAGTGACATCCCATCACCTTTGCCATATCCTATTGGTCAGAAGCAAGACACAGATCCTATACCCCCTTAGGAGGAAGAGATTATACAGTGTAAATATCATGATGAATCTTTCTTTTTAGATCTACCCTTAAGGTCTTCCTCAATAAATATTTATCATTAAGCATCTCCTGGATAATCTAAGTGCCTTAGAACACTTCAACTCCATTTATACCCACTCCAATTTCTATTGTCATGTATTTGACAAAGGGGATTTCAACAAATTAAAAACTTTTGCCTTGAAAAAGGCATGTTACTGGAAAGATAAGCTACAGAGTGGGAGGACCCATTTCCAAATAATATGTCTGACAAAGGACTTGTATCAGGAACATATAAGGTATTCTAAACACTCAACAGTAAGACAAGAACCAACCAATAAAAAGGGGGACAAAAGACTTAGACACTTCACCTAAGAAGGTATTCAGATTGTTACCAACAGACACTCGAACAGGGTTCTTTGTCCTTGTCTTCATGTATTAAAATATTTTAACACCTAGGTTTAGGAGTATGCAAGCAAGCAGTACACTTTATTAGAGAAGTAAGGAAATAGAAGCACCTTGATAGACCAAGGTGGGCTGCTCAAGAGAGTCAGCATTGAGAAGAATCAAGGTAGGTCCTATTATGGGGAGTGAAAATGTTTACTCGTTAGTTCTTAGGTCACTTAGCATGAGTTGGCAGGGGACAGCTTCAATCAGCACATGCGCAGTTGGATTACATACATATGCATATATTGCAAAGTCATCTCATGCAGCATTAGCATGTAAAATCTCCACCCAGGGATGGGAAATTCAGTATTATAATGAAAAGCAACTATCAGACACCAAATTTTCCTTATGCACATGTCACAATTTGTGTCTTGGTCCACTGATTAACTGACCAAGGGACCTCTAAACCTAGGACACGGTGGCTATAAAACTTGTTAGAACAATGGTTCTAACAACATTGACATGAAAAACAAGACACATTGAAGCCTTAGAGTCAGTTGTTCCAGTCACAAGGCACTTTTGTCAGAACTTAGGTATGTGGGGTTGGACTGGTCTCTCCATTTTTTCCCTCTATCTATATCAAAATAGAAATAAACATGAACATGAAAACATGATAAAACTCATGCTGTTAGGGAATTGCAAATTAAAACCACAATGAGATATCAATACATACCTAGTGGAACAGCTAAAATAAAAAAATATATATAATACCAAGTGCTGATGAAGATATGGAACTAGAACACATATATTTGCGGCAGAAATGCAAAATGATACAAAAATTTCAGAAAAATTTGGCATTCACTTCCACTTGAAAGTTTAAAGCAACTTTATTCATAGTTGCTGAAACTATAAACATCTTGTCTATTAATTAGTGAATGGAGGAGAAAGCTGTGATACATTCATATAATGACATACAACAATAAAATAGGAATGAACTATTGATTCACATAACATGGACAAATCTTAAATTCATTTTACTAAGTGAAAAAGCCAAACCAAAAAGGTCAACATTTTGCATAATTCCATACATATGACCTTCTGGAAAAGGCAAAATTATAGGAATGGAGCATAAATCAGTAGTAGTTTTCAGGGATTTTGAATGGGGAATAGGGGTTTACAACAAAAAGATCAAGAGAAATTACTGATAAAACTGTTCTGTACAGTATGGGAATGGAAGAATACATGACTCTGTACTTATCAAAACCCATAGAATTATGCATCATAAAAGTGAATTTTACTGTATGTAAGTTATAAACATCTCTGAAAGAATTTTTGCCATCAAATGAGCAGAAATTTATAAAAAGTCCATGTTTTGGTGAACATGTTGAGATGCACATTTATATACCACTGACGGGAATGTAATTTTGTACAACTATACTGAGGATAATTCAATAACACCTGTCAGGTGCCCTAATAAGACTCACATCCAACTTGGTAATTCCAATTTCAGAAATTTATTCTAAAGAAATAATCAGAGGCATATAGAAATTAATGTTCAATAATGTTTATTACATTTTAATTTTGTAGGCAAAACTGGTAATATCCAAAATATCCAGCAGTATGGAATCATCTAAATTTTGTTAGATCCATATGAAATATTATTATGTAACAATACTGAGTTTTCAAAGAATGCTAATTACATGGAAATATGCTTGTTTATTTTCAAATGGAAAAAGTTAAAGAACATATACAATATATCAATTTTTAAAAATTGTTACTTTTTAAAAAATACAGCAGTGTTTTGAGTTACTGTTTTCTAGGCTGTAAGATTATAGGTGTTCCTTTTTAATTTATACCTTTCACTTTATTTTTTAATGATCATCTGTTACTTTTAGCAAGAAAAAACTTTGTATTTTTAAAAACAAACATCCCAGCCCAATCCAGCCAAGCCCACAATCTTCACTCAGAAGTGTATACTGTTGTGTCTTGGATGCCTGTTGTCCTCTTGTTCCTTGAGGTACTCACTATAGATGAACACCTGCCAAAGTGAGAAAGAGTGTGGCAGCATCTCTCCAAGAGCATGAAACCTGTAAGTTAAAATTGCCTTGTAAGCCACAGGCTCATACTGGTATCAATCTCCTTGACCTATGTAGAGACAAATCTTTAAAAACTATAATGTCCGTCTTATGTAATTGGAAGTTTCCCCTCTTCTAAATCTCTTCTATAAAGGCATCTTTTATAACCCTCCTCCAAAGCAGCTCTTTTTATTTTAGATATCCCATCATGCTCTGGCAGGTAACAAATAATAAGTTCAAGGATTGACCTTTCATTGTATTATTTCCTTATGCCATACCTGGTGTTTGGGGTTGCCTGGAGCCATTCTGCCCACTGCCTCTGGCCCAGCCTGCCTCTGCCCTTGCGCTATCTCTTCTGTCCTTGACTCCTTTAACACCCTGTCACTGAACCGGAGAGCTCTTCTAAGTTGCAAATCTTGTTCTGGATTGTTTCTCAATAGCGGTTACCAGAAACCTCCACAAAAGCAATCCTACCTGATGAAAAGTGGCTGGCAGTGATTCTCACAAGTAGCAGTAGCAGTGGTGCAGTGCAACAATTCATCTCCAATCCACCTTAAAAAGTTTCCGGTTTATGCATCAAGTCTCAGTGATTACTCCACTGAAGTAAAGGATTTTATGACTTCCCTCACTTTCCTCCCCTCTCTCCCTCCATTGCTAAGGGCAATAAGGAGTTCACTCCTATGTTCATTTATGAACATCAAAGATCACAGGTTTGCTTCCTTCTTCCTTCATTCATGCAGGTTTCTCGGTCCAACATCCACTGAAATGGCAGGCATTTGTTACTCCATTATGGGATTTCATAGCCTCCTCTACTCCTCATTATATTCAGAGGAAAAAAAAAAACGAGTGACACTCCCAACACTGGCGGTTCATTCACTCATTCACAATAAGGCTCCTCCCAGGTGGGGACTGTTACAGATGGCTTTGAGGAGGGAAAGGAAAACACCTGCTGAAACCCACTGAGGTGGACAGGGTAGGAAATGAAAGGTGGTTGAGCAAGGAGTGCACTAGGACTCTGAGAGGCAAGACCCAGGATACCACACCAGATGTGACCAAGGGTGTCCTGAGGAATCACTGAGAATGTATTTGAAAGATACAAGACTTTTCACTTTCCCCATTCCCTATTCTGCCCATTCCAGATTGAGAAAAAGTAACCAGGACTCCTGATATTTACTATTAACCCTTAAGATTTCCTCTTTATATACTATGTCCTAAGTACTAACCTCTTATAACCATTTTAGTACAGGGGACTGCACTGGGGCAAGCCCTCTAAGTGGTACTTCACAATCAGGTGAGACATAAGAAGTAAATCCTGAGGCTGCAGTCTAGGGTAGCTGGCCTCAGATATAGCTTCTGGCTGCCATGAGATCAGGTGGAAGAGGGTATCAGGCTGATTAACTGAATATTTCCCCAAGTGTAGAGGTAGCTATGACAAATTAAACTCTAACCTTAGCATTCATACCTCTCTGAGTCTTAAGAGATGGGGAGGAAGTGCTAATTAAAGACTGACTCCCAGCGGCATATACATGGGGCAGAAAAAGAAAGAATATGAGCACAGGAATAGGGGTTACTTTCGAGTCAACTGATTGTCTTCCTTTCTTGAAGCTGGAATCCTTTATTGCTGAACCCAAACTCATCTCTGGTGGCCTACATTCCAGCATTTGGGAGCCAGCAATTTCTACTATTGGAGGCCTAACAGGGCAATTATTATGCCATATTTTCGAAATTGTTTTTTGTTGTGAACATGGGGTGCTCTTTGTGGGAAGTATAGTTCATATACACACATACAGTACAACTTCTGAAAAGAGAAATGAGCCAAGAGAGCTAAGCATACAATTGAAAAGAGCAACCTGTGGTCTGAAGTCTCGAGTGAGTGACGCTTCTGCTGAGTCATGCTTTGTAGAACTGAGATGGAGAAGCTGTAGTTATCCTCTGCTTTTTTCCTTTTCTTCTCCCTCATATGAAGTGTTCTACCAGTTTCTCCTGAGGAATATGAAGCAGCCTATACAGGAGGGGATAGCCTGTCTGAGAGCTTAGTCACTCTACCGCAGTTGTTCTCAATGTTTACTGGAATATTGACTTATCTGAAGACTGTAACAGAAGAAAAATGACTGCATACAGTATCAGAGGGTTCTCAGAAACTCTCTTCTCTAAACTTTACCTTCCAAATTCTAAGGGCTGTCTTTCTGCATTCATCTTCAGCCCTCCTTCCCAACAACATAGGGAACATCTACAATATACCCACTAAACAAGATGCATCCAGACCCTACAATGGCTTTTACAAAGTGGTTTTGTTATTCATGCACTGATGTGAGCTTTCTTTTGTCTGCTCTATCTTAAAAGTGCAATAAGATAAATGGACTGTGTTTGTTATAGTTAATCAGTATGTTTTTAAAGTACTGTGCCTATTTTTTCCCAAGGGGCAGTACTAGCTCAATCCTCAGCTCAGAGGCTCAGAAGCCAAAGTACATTATGGACCACAGCCAACAAAGGTGTGCACGATGTAATAAACTTAGGTCAAGATGAAGGAAATATTTTAATCCTAAGGAAATTTTTTTAAGCCACTTCAAGATGACCAGTCTGCTGGTCTTCAGAGTTAAGGAGATGGTCACAGGATTCCATCAGTGTTTAGGGCCTGCAGCTCCTCCAGCTGTCTTGCTATTGCTGCTCATTCTATCATACCTGAAATGTGACAGACCCAAAAGGTGTAAATGAATAGCACATAGCAAGGTGCTGGGCATTGAGCAAGCTCTCAAAAAAAGGAGGGGATCGTTTTAGCTGGGCATTACGGCAACCAACTCTTCAGTGCAATACGGAAACCACAGGTTTTGTACGTCCTAATAACCCCTACCACTACTCATACTACTATCCCACTACATCCTCTCTTCTCTTACATCTTCAGTTGCCATGTGCCAACCTCCGTATCATTCCTTAGTGACTGAAGCCTATTGTATATGGCTCATAGTGTTTGTTCCCAGCCCAGTTTTTGCTATAAACCTGGATCACTTCAATAGCCATGTAAATAACCATCTGACATCGTAGCTTCACAGGTTATCTTGACCACTCCTGTTTTCAAATCTTAACATTTCAAAATCCACTGATCATAGACCCTATCATGCCAGTTTTCCAAGTATTCAAAATCAATCTCATTAACTCTAAGGCCTCTTTTTGTTCACAGAATCTGAGCTCTCTTCTGATCTAACTTCCTTCCATATAGCCTGGATTCTCAAGTCCATACTGTGTAACTCCTCTCTTGCTATCTGTCCACCCCTCAATCAAGGTGAGTCCAAGGCAACCAAATGTTACTTGTGACCCTGGCCCAAGACCACTTTAAATTTTCCTGAGCTTCAGTTCAAGTTTCCAACTAGGTTCTCCCTTTGATATACCATGAGTTCTTCTGTTAATGGTTCCACTTCGGCCTGTAGGCCTGAATATTTCTTTAGAGACTGCTTTTTCCTCTATAATCTTGTCCCTGGTGCACTTCATCTCCATCATGCTCCTCTACAAATCTTCAGGTACTTCTCCTAACTCCTTTTCCTATCTCTATGCTCCACTGGAAAGCTAATTCCTTTTATCTAAGACTGAAGCTCCACCCATGTTATAGAGCCATAGGTTTCACCCTCCCGCCACTACGTGCACCATCTTTCAGGATCTTGTTCCATCTGTTTTCATCTCTGTCTCCCACATCTACGATTCCCTTCTCAGTCCTTTGTGCTGTGCAATCTGCAATGACACTCAATTTTATCCCATATTAAAAGGAGTGTATATGACTCATGCTAGGGCCCTCATGGCATGATTTTACTTGTACTCTAGTTGTCACATCTTCTAACACAAAGAAGGCTTCTCCTAGCACAATGATTAATCACACTAAATAAGAAAAAGGAAACATGAGCTGGTTGAGTGGTGAATAGGAAGTGGAGGCATATCTGTCAGTGTATGTTAAGAGGACAGCTGAAGTAAAGTTGAAACGGGAAAATTGAATAGAAGCCACAGAAGCAAACCCCACACTGTCAGGTAATGTTTCTGCTCAATGATCACCATGGTCCTACCCAAGGAGCAACTGGCAGTACTTGTAGTAGCAGCAGTGGCAGCCTCGCAACATCTTCAAGCAGCCAAGACTAAAATACAGGGTCTAAAAACACAGTATTTCATGGAAAACACAGTATTAAATATGACATATATGTGGCACTTGGGCTGCTACTCCCTCCTCTCCCACCCTCACCAAGCATCACCAGCATTCACACTGAGCTGAGACCTGGCTTCAGAATTTTTATAGATAACCAAGGCAGCCACTGTAAATCAACTGGAGATGGTATTTGATGTATATTTGCTATCCTCTCATTATACAGCAAGGTCCACGGCAAAAGAATTAGCAGAAAGGAGGAGGAAGTTTCAGGAAAAAGCATACTGAAGACAGCTTGGATGTTGTAGGCAACTGGTGGGGACAAGCTGAGCCCATGGAGATCACAGAGCAGGTGCCCAATTAATGTCTGTTGATGATTCATTTTTTCATTCAACAAACATTTAATGAGACCTACAATGTGCACTTGATTAGGCACTGTGAATGCAAAGGCACTGTCCTTGCTCGTAAGGAATTTAGTCTGATAGATGAGAACCATAGACACGGACAATGATAATACAACCTGATAAGTGCTAGGACACTTAGCAGGTTGTATTATATCCATCCGAGTAGGATTTCTTCAGAAGAGCACAACTCCAGGTTGCTGTTGGATCCATGAAGTCCTCCCAGCCACCAGGGCCTGCTGTTGTTTCTGTCATGCGTCGAGTATCCAGGAACTAACAATGATAGCTGTAATTTACAGTGTTCACAGAAAACACTTTACAAATATCCTCGTATAAGCCCTTAAAATTAATTATTATATCAGATGAAGACACTGTGGTTCAGTGAGGTTAACTGACATGGCTTAGATCACACAGCTATCAAATAGATGAGTCAGGTTTTAAATCCAGTTTTGACGAACTACAAAGCATTTTCTACTTTTCAGAGATAACCTTTATTCAAGTATAATGCAACTTTTAACAGTTTTCTATTTGGAAAAAAAAAGCAAAGGCAAAAGATTAGTGATCAGGGCACATACACACAATTCATCTGGTTTCCCAACCTATTTGACAGAAAAAAAAAAGGCAGAGAAGTGGCTTCACACTTATATACCATTGAAAACCTTAGGGTCACTTAGTTTTTCTTACTTTCTCACACTCCGACATCCTCATTCATGATGTAAAATATAAATAACTCGAGTTAACTATCTTCTTTTAATCCATGTCATGGTCTCCATTCATTATCAGCAACAAATATAGTTGATTTGGCACTTATCATATTCCAGACTCTTTTAAGAAATTTACATATAAATTCCATTAAATCTTTATATTTCCCTTCCCCCCAAATCAGTGCAAAAAAGGTTATTACCCCTATTTTACATAAAAGGAAATAAAGTCCCAGCAAGGTGAAAAACCATGAACAAGATCACGTTGGTAAGTGTAGAGCAGATTTGAACCCAGGCTATCTAGTCCTGACACTCAAACTCTCACTGTACTGCCTTCATGCCCTACACAGGACTTTTTTTCCCAACCCTTCTCCACCCTACTGCCCTTCAGGATGGCTAGTAACATAAGGTCCACTGAAAATACATGTCTAAATATGACCTCCCATCAATAATTGTAGTCACAGAAAGCCATTCTCTGAATCAGTTTCACAAAGAATGTTGTATTTATATTACATTGAGAAAAGAGAAAATAAACATTGAATGTTTAAATTTTCAATTATTGAACATATTTTGCTTGGAAGTGTAGCCATGAACATTCTTAAATCCCTCTGCAAAATAAAGTAATTGAGACAATAATAACTAAGGCCATTTTTTCCCAACAGGCACATGAAAAGATGCTGCACATCGCTAATTATCAGGGAAATGCAAATTAAAACCACAATGAGATATTACCTCATACCAGTTAGGATGGCCAACATCGAAAAGACTAGGAATACAAATGCTGGTGAGGATGCGGAGAAAGGGGAACCCTCCTATACTGCTGGTGGGAATATAAATTAGTTCAACCATTGTGGAAAGCAATATGGAGGTTCCTCGAAAAACTAAAAATAGAAATACCATTTGACCCAGGAATTCCACTCCTAGGAATTTACCCAAAGAAAACAACTTCTCAGATTCAAGAGAATATATGCACCCCTATGTTTATTGCAGCACTGTTTGCAATGGCCAGGATATAGAAGCAACCTGGATGTCCATAGGTAGATGAATGGATAGGAAAGATGTGGTGCATGTGCATAGTGGAATACTGCTCAGCCCTAGGAAGGAAACAAATCCTGCCATTTGCAGCGGCATGGATGGAGCTGGAGGGTATTGTGCTTGGTGGGGTGGGTCAGGTGGAGAAAGACAAGTGCCAGGTGATTTCCCTCATTTGTGGAGTATAACAGCGAAGCAGGGCTGAAGGAACAAAATAGCAGCAGACGCACAGACTCCCAAGAAGGGACTAGCGGTTACCAAAGGGGAGGGATGGGGGAGGGCGGGTGGGGAGTGAGGGAGAAGGGGATTGTGGGGCATCATGACTGGTGCACATGGTGTGTGTGGGGTCACGGTAAAGACAGTGTAGCTCAGAGAAGACAAACAGGGACTCTGTGGCGTCTTACTACACTGATGGACAGTGACTGCAATGGGGTATGGGGGGGGTGACTCGATAATCAGGGCGAATGTCATAACCACATTGTTTTTCTTGTGAAACCTTCATAAAAGTGTGTATCACTGATACCTTAATTAAAAAAAAAAAGAAACTAAGGCCATTTCTTCCCTGAATGGGCTTTAGATATAAAAACTCCAGTTTTGGTAAAAAGTCCTTTGGGAGACATGTGACAGTGACAGTAGGCCTACTACTTATGAGAAGGACAAGGAACTTAGTAATACTCTAAGAGGTCTGCAGCTGTTTGGATGTCTTCCTGAAATCAACATTTCATATACGACTGCCACCCCAAAAAGAAACTAGCAAAAATTTATGCAGCCAAGATCTAGTCCAGAAGGAACCAAAGTAACACGCATTCAGAGAACACGAGAGGGTCTTTCAAGGCCATGGATAGGGGTGGGGGCGTGCACATTTACCAAAGTCTGAAAGCCTTGATTTTTCTCTCTTTACCACCTTAATTTTCCCATATTCTATTATATCTGTTTTTATGATCTCTTATTAAGAAGGTATCCCTGCTTCTACACTCCCATTCTTCCTGGCCTTAGATCATTTATCATCTTAACTACTACTGTGTCCTAATCTCCCTGTCCAGGTTTGAAAATCTTCCAGAACATACTCCATACTGCTGCCAGAGTGGCCATATTAAAAGTATACCCTTCTTAAAACATTCAAAATGAAATCCAAATTTCATGCCATACTATATAAGGATCTAGTCGCAGCCTACATTTCCAGCCTAATTTCAGGAATTGTCATTCCCACATTTCAACAATTTCCAATGTCCATGCCCTTGCTTAAAAGGTCCTTCCCTCTGTTTTCTGCCTGGCCAAACTTTACTTCTTTTAAGAATCAACTAAAGCATTGATTGATTCCTCCAACCTCTGGCATCTCAGACTCTGTCAAATGGTTTCTCTTCTGAAACCCACGGTACCTTGTACATACCTCCATTGTAGAGCATACCATACTGCTGTAAACATCTGTGTACATGTTGAACTCTCTCATTAGACTGAGAACTCCTTGAGGGCAGGGACTGTGTCTAATTCATCTCCATATCCCCATCACCCAGCATAGTGCCTGGCAGCTCAAAAGGCAGCAGAGAGAAGCTGAAGATGTAGAAGAGAGAACAATAACGCGATATTCTTGAGTTGGGGCACAATACAAATATGCTGAATAAATTGAAGCTGTAGAAGAAGAAATTTCAGCTCAGTATTACAAAGAGTCTTGAAAAAAGAGACAAGTTCACTCAGGAAGGTGTTCCCCATCCGCAAGTGCAGTTAGTTACCCAAGGCAAGACAATTTGTTGGGTTTGAATTAGGTTCAAAATAAGCTGTTTTGGATGAGTCTTTTACATTCCTTCTATCTTTCAGGCTCTCAGTCTACAACCTATGCCATAAAGACAGCCATTGTCTGAGCCTATGAGTCAGTCCCGTGAGTGAATGGTGGCTCCCAAAGTGTAGGCAAGGGCTGAGACCTCACTCCCATCCATTCTAGACTGATGGCAAGCTTAAAACATAACCCATTCTTTGGTGGCCTGATTCCCATGTGACCCTTGAACCTGAGCTGAAAGTACTCTAAATGCTGTCAAGGCCACCAAGGACCTCATGATGCAAAATACTTTCTACAACCTGCCACCTAGCCTTAGATTTCCTGGTTAAATCTTTTGTGCTTTTGATCAGTTTGTTAAAATGCCCCTTAATCTAAGGTCGTAAGCTGTCATCAAGTGTATACTAAAGGTTGGATAAAATCAATGCAATCCTTCTGTATCCCATGAAATAATTTAGTCTGACGTTCCTCTTCCCCCAACAACAACAAAAAAAGAATGCCTCAAAATGTCCTGATTTTTAATTCTGGTACTCAGTTTTCCCAACTGCAAAATATAGAGGTTGTATTGAATGGTCTCCCTGATCCCCTTTATTCCAGAGGAACCAGTTTCTTACCTTTCACTTATAAAGTAGATGTGTGAATCTATCCTTGTAATTTCACCAGATTTTTATAAGGTTCAAATAAAACCATATTTTTTCAAAGGCTTCTAAATGATAACAGGCTATACAAATGTAAGGAATTACTATTGCAAATTAAGACACACAAGAGGAAAGGGGTCTTAGAAGTATGCTCTGCCATTAATTAGAGGAGTTATCTTAGCAAAGTTACTCTACGTCTCTGGGATGCCTCAGAGCGTTGTGGTGATGACTAAGTGGGAGCATGTGAAGTAAGCACACAATAAAAATCAGTTTCTTTTGACTTGATTTAGATAGACTCTCAGGAATAAATATGATCTTCAAATGCATGTAATCTAACCTCTCTTTCCATGCAGGGAGATTCTCAAATTCCATCCCAAGTGGTCATACAAACCACTGAATCACTTCCAAAAGTTATATTCATCTTTGGACAGTTCTTAAATCTGTTTCTCCACTAACTAGAATTGCCTTCAAAAGTAGCACAACCCAACTATCCCTGACACCATAAAAGATATGAATAGATCATCAAACCCTCCATTTTGGAGGAGCTGTCTCCCACAGTCTAAACAGCTCTAATTCCTGTGGTGCCTCTCATAGAATCTAAGTTTGAATTCCTTTTTATATCCTGTTGTTCTCCTCTCAGAGAGTTGCTCTTAAGCTAGAATCAAAATTAAGGATTCTTACCTCTATGATTCTAAGCTTTTGTAGTGAGAACACAACCAGTTGGCTCTATACTGCAGGGTTTGGAGGACTTCAATGGGCAAATACCCTGTAAACAAAAGCACTAATTTCCAGAAGCTTGCAGTATGGAGGAAGCACTTCTAAATGGGAAAAGGGGAGGGTCAAAGGGATGCTAACAGCACTAAAAATAAATGGCTTACCAAATAGTAACATTAGCCGTCAGTTCTGTACTTACTAAAACAGGGATATGGAATATTGTAAATAATGTGGATCCTAGGGCCATCTGCAAGAAATAGTAACATCATGTCCAAAAAAATATATTTTGTATGACCTTCTATGCTTACAAGTCTAGTCTCTTTAGATGACATCTGCACTTTGCCACAATAATCCCAGTTCCAAAGGCATCTGCCTATTTCTTTCAGAAACTCAGGGAAAATACTGAAGATAATAAATGAAAAAGACACATACATACACAATACTGAAGACATAAATAAAAAAACATACCACATTCATGTATGAAGTTATAAAGATTATAGCTCTCCAAAAATTAATCTATATATTCCATTCCATTCCGTTTGCAATTCCAATGGTACATGTGGTAAGAACTTGGCAAGTTGTTTTTACAGGTCTCCTGGAAGAATAAGTACAAGAGAATAAAGAAAATTAAAAAAAAAAAAGAATGCAGGACTTGCCCTCCTAGATAAATTTGTTGTAAAAAACTAGGCACATAGGAAAGGACAACAGCAATATTGTCTAATCACAATGCAACACACCCTTTATTTTTTCGTTTAGTTCAAACCAGAAATCCTCAACATGCAGCATCATAGTAAATAACTATTGGATTAAAACAGAAATGTAAATTATAATCAAACATATTTAGCAAACAAGAAAGCAAGAACACTACTTATGAGATTCAGCCAATACTATACATAAACAAACAAGTTCTATTATAAGATAATGAAAAAGAATTAAACTCAGTAAGGATAACAACATAATGGGAGTTAAACAAAGAAAAGGGGACAGAAAGAATGTGGATAATGGCCAAAAACGTGCCAAATTTCATGAAAAAATGATAATCTGTTACATGCAGGATCAATGTACACCAAAAAGGATAAACTCAAAGACATTCAAATCTAGACTTAAGATTGTTAAATTGTCAAACTGACTTCACAACCTTGAATGAAGCAAGAGAAAAACTCATCATGTACAATGTATCCTCAACAAGCTAAAACCAACATCTCATCATAAACAACAGACAACAGAAAATAATGGGAAGATATATTCAAACTACTGAGAATATAGGAAAAAGAATGTCAATCGAGAATTCCATATCCAGTAAAATTTCCTTGATAAATGGAGAAATTAGGACTTTCCCAGGTAAACAAAAATTAAAATAATTCAGTGCTAGCAGACATGCCCTATAAGAGATACAAAACGGAGTCATTCATGCAGAAGTGTAAGGACACTAGAGAATAACTCACATGTATCACATGTACATGAAAAATAAAAGGACCAGTAACTACATAAGTACACAGAAAAAAAACAACAAAATCTGCTTACTTGTCATACTTTTCTTCTCATTAACTTAAAGACAGTAGCATAAAGGAATAACTAGAAAATTGTGATGACGTGCCTACACTGTATAGAGATATAATTTGTATTATAATAACAGCACAAAGTAGAGGAGAGGGAACAGAGATACAGTGGAGCAAATTTTGTACCCAACTGAAATTAAGTTGGTATTAATGTGAAATCAGTTATTTTAAGATAAGATTGAAATACCAGAACAACCTTTTTGTACCCAACTGAAATTAAGTTGGTATTAATGTGAAATCAGTTATTTTAAGATAAGATTGAAATACCAGAGCAACCATGAAAGAAAAAACCTCCAAAATACAGTAAAAAAAAACAAGGGAATTTAAAACATACAATTCATCTATATGCTTTCTACAAGACACACATTTTAGATTTAAAGACACAAAAAGTTTGCAAGTAAAAGAATAGAAAAAGACATACCAGGCAGCTACTAAGCAAGAGAGGTGGAGTAGCTATACAAATAAAAAACAGAATTAAGCAAAAAATTGCTACTAGAGGTAAATAAGGATATTTTATTATAATCAAAGGACCAGAATATCAGGAAAATGTAGGAATTATAAACATATAGGCACCTAACAAAAGCACCAAAAATAAGACAAAAATGTTGGAAAAAGAAAAAGATAGATAACTCAGCAATAAGAACTAGAGATATAAATACTATACTTTCAATAATAGAACAACTAGGCAGAAGATCAACAAGGTAATAGAACACTTCAACAATTCTATAAAACCACTTGACCTATTGAACATCGACAGAACATCCTCTCAACTGCAGAATACACATTATCCTCAAATGCACACACAATAGTCTCCAGGATAGATCATATACTAAGACATAAAACAAGTCTCAATAAACTTAGAAGAACTGAAATCATACAAAGCATGTTCTATCACAATGAAATCAGAAAATAATAGAAATTTGGAAAATTAATGGACATTAAACAACAAACTCCTAAATAACCAATGGATCAAAGAAGAAATCACCCAAGTAGAAAATACTTTGAATGAAAATATAAATAGAACATATAAAACTTACAGGATATAACAAAACAGTGCTTACCGACAGAACTGTAGCTAAGTACCTACATTAAAAGTGAAGGTCTCAAGTAAATAAGCAAACTACCTTATGAAATTAGAAAAAGAGGAAACTAAACTGAAATGAATCAGAAAGAAGGAAAATGAGTTGAAAATAAATGAAAGAAATAGAATAGAGAAAATCAAGGAAACGAAATGTGGTTCTTTGAAACAAACAAAAAAAAGTTGTAGCTAAACTAACCATGAAAAAAAGAAATTAAAATAAATATAATGAGAAATAAGAGAGGGGACATATTACCAATTTTACAGAAACAAAAAGAATTACAAGGGAATACTCTCAAAAAGATTATGCCAATTAGATAAATGGACACAACCAAATCTGACTCCGGAAGAAAAACCTGAACAGACCTGTAAAAACAAATTCAGTAATTAATCTACAGAATTCCTACAAAGAAAAGCCAATGAACAGATGACTTCAATGACAATTCTGTGAAACATTTAAGGAAATTAACACCAATCCTTCATATAATATTCCAAAAATTAGAGGAGAAACACTTTCCAACTCATTCTGAGGCAAGAATTAGCCTGATACCAAAACCAGAGATAAAGCAAGAAAACTATGGAGTAAGTTACCTTATGAATATAGACATGCAAATCTCCCAAACACCAGGGAACTAAGCCTAGAAATGAGTATGAAGGACTTTATACCATGCCCAAATGGGATTTCTCTCAGTAAAGCTTAAATTGGTTTAATATTTGAAAAATCAATGAATTTAATACAACATATTTGTAGAATGAATATGAAAAACCTCATATTGACAAATGTATAAAAAGCATTTGACAAATATTATGACAACCATTCATGATTAAAAAACAAACTTAAAGTAGGAACGGAACTTTTTATACTTGACAAAAGGTATCTACAAAAGTTGTACAGCTATCATTGTAATTAATGGTTAAAAAGTAAATGTATTTTCCCTGAGACCAGTAATAATACAAAAAAGATGCTCTTGCCAATACTGCACAGGAGACTATAGCCAGGGTAATTAGGCAGGAAATAGAAGTAAAAATCAATGAGATTGAAAGAATTATCTGTGGTCATAGGAGATATACTCTTATACATAAAAATCCTAAGGAATCTACCAAAAAAAAAAAAAGTCCTACTGTTAAAACTACTGGAACAGAAAGCAATTCTAATGAGTTCAGAAAGGTTGAATACAAGATCAATAGAAAAATAATTTTATTTCTATACACATCAATGAACAATAGAAAATGAAACTGAGAACAATTTTATTTTCAGTATCATAGGAGTAAAATACTTGGAATACATTTTTTAAAAGAAGTAGAAGATTATTTACATTGAATTCATACTGCTGAAGGAAATTGAAGATGACTAAATGGATGGAAAGACATGTTAATGGACTGGGAAAATAGTGAACATGGCAATACTCCACAAAGTGATCTGTAGATTAAATGTGATTACTATCAAAATTCCATATTTTTTATAGCAACTGACAAAATGATCCTAAATTTCATATGGAAACTCAAGGTCCAACAATCATGCAAAAGAACCCAACTGGAAGATTTGTACTTCCAAATTTTAAATTTTACCACAAAGCTACAATAATAAAGACTGTGTGGTCCAGACATAATGATATAAAGATAAATGAAATAGAAATTAAAGACCAAAAATAAACCCTTGCATTTAGGAGCACTGGGTTTTCAATAAGGGTATCAAGTTAATTCAATAGGAATTAGTCTTTTCAACAAATGGTGATGGGAAAACTGTTTATCTGTATCCAAAAGGATAAAGTTGAAACTTCACGTCACACTATATATATGTCAAGTGGATCAGACCACAATATAAGAGCTACAACTTAAGTTAGATAATGGTTTGTTTGTTTGTTATGGTACCAAAATCAAAAGTGACAAAAGAAAAAATAAACTGGATTTCATCAATATTGAAAACTTCTGTAACTGCAAACAATACCATCAAGAAAGTTTAAAGGGAACAGGATGGAATACATGCAAATCACATATCCAATAAGGGTCTATTATCCAGTTATATAAACAACTCTAACAATATGACACAAAGACATATAACCCAATTCTAATGAATAAAGGATTTGAAGACATTTCTCCAAAGAGCTACAATTGGCCAATAAGCACACAAAAAGTTGCACAACACAGAAATACTAGTCAAAACCAGTGAGATATTTCACATCCACTAGGATGACTATTTAAGACTAAAAATTACAAGCGAGAATGGGAGTAAATAGAAATACTCACACTCCATGTTGAGAATGTAAAATGGTGCAGCCACTTTAATAATGCCAATTACTCAAAATGTGAAAGAGCTGTGATATTAAGCAATTCCAATATTAAGTGTATAATCATGGAAATGAAAATATGTTGACATAAAAACTTGTACATGAATGTTTATTGCACCATTATTATTAATAGACAAAAGGCGGGAAACCCAAATATCCTTCAACTGATGAATGTATAAAGTTAGGTTAATGCATAAAGTGGAATATTATTCAGCCATAAGAAGGAATGATATGGATAAACACCCAAAACATCCCAAGTGAAAAAAACTAGACACAAAGGTCACATCTTGTATGATTCCATTGATATGAATGCACAGAATGGACAAAATCCTTAGGATGAAAAGTTAGTTTAGTAGCTGCCCGGGTTGCTGAAAAGGGAAAATCAGGAATGACTACTAATGGATATAGGGCTACATTCTCAGGTGATGAAAATGTTTTACAGTAAGGCAGTAATGATTGTTGTACAACTCCACAAATATATTAAAAGCCTCTGAACTTTACAGGGTGGGTTTTATAGTATATGAATTACATCACAATAAGAGCTATTTTTTAAAAAAGTTATTACATTATTTAAAGTTACTTTGAAAAGTAGAGTTGTTAAGATAAGTGTTGCTACTGACAGGTTGATGATAAACCCATTGACAGGCTGTCCCCAAGTAATGGTTACCGG